GTCGTCGTCGTAGTAGTAGTAGTAGTAGCAGCAGCAGGAGTAGTAGTAGTAGTAGTAGTAGGAGTAGGAGTAGCAGTAGCAGTAGTATTTGTAGTAGTGGTAGTAGTGGTAATTAATAGTAGTTGGTAATGGTAGATGGTAGTAGTTGAACGGTAGTTGGGCCAATATCATTGAGTCTCTGATTCATTCTTGAAACCAAGTGAAAAAACAATGTTCACAAATTCAAACACCCAGCTTGAGCCATCATATTGTATGCATAAGTCTGGCAGATGCGCGAGTTTTGTGCAAGTCCTATAATGTACCCAGAAGTCAAAAAGATCCCAAGAGCGCAAAAGCTGCGCGCAGGCTTTTCTTATGCGCTTTGATTGACGCTGGGGTCCTCCCCCAGACCCTGTACCGTTTGGTCAGCTTCAAAACCCTGGGCTTCGTCAGGAGGACAAAGGGTGTGTCAGGCAGTAGGATTCGCCCATCCCTGCCAAACGCCCAAGTGTCCCCTGGTCCTCCCAGGGCCAATGGGCACCTGTCAAGGTGCCAGGGGACAGGGTCGGGAGGACTGCCCACCGGATCCGGTCACGGGATCTTGGGTGGGAATCTAGGAAAATCCGGTCGAAGACAACAGTCTTGTGGCAAAAGGAAAAACAAAAAGGGTCTCCGGGGCCGGTAACCGGCAATCTAAGGAGAACCCTTCGAAATCAGGGTGAGTAAGTTCGTCAGCCCAGGTGTTGTATTCCCTCGTGGTTCGGGGCAATGCTACAGCCCTCACAATGAAGGAAAAGAACTAGCTCCATTAGCAGCACTGCCGTGTATGGTTTCTTGGCAGAGAGGTTGAGCAAGCTGAAGATGTTGCCCGAGTTGTCGCTGCCAACCGGGAGGCGAACTCGTCCCGGAAGCTGGCCCTGTTGCGCCACCAAGTGCTTGCAAGAAGTAGAGTACCCAAGAGTTCCAGAGCCGCGATGCGCTTCTGTGGGTTGCCATCCTTGAATGCCCAAGGGTGTGCATCCGCTGTAATGGCATAGTGAAACCAAAGACGGGTTTCCTTGGTGGGGTTTGGGGAGTCAGTGCACCAGCCCCCAACATAGGCCTCACCAGTCCTTGAAGCACTGGCGTCACTGCATCCCCACCATGGGGACTTCGGCAGGAAGGGTGAGTATTGTTCAAAGGGGTGCGTGAAGAGCTCCTTCAGCAAATAGGCCAGCGTGCGGACCAGCTTGGGCGGGTGGCCCATGGTCCGGACCGCCATCTTCCAGGCCCATAAGGGCTGGAGCATGGACTTGGTCAGGGGGCAGCATGTTGGATCCGTCCCATTGCCTTTTCAATGGCTTTTGCTGACATGGGGGCTCCGTTGGCGAGTTGGCCGGGTGAATCAGGAACCCGAGCCATGTATTGATCTCTGCCAGGTGAGTCTTCTTCCAGCTGAGAGGCGTGCCCAGTGCCACTAGTGTGCCCAGAAGAGTCGCGGTGAATTGCGGCCCGGTGGGTAGGCGAAGTAGCCAGCAGAAGTCGTCCACAAAGACAAAGCCCCAATCAATTTGGGGAAAGAGATAATAGAGAAGCCGTAGGAGCAAGGCCGCCATCCGGCCCCAGTAGAGCTGCGCGCTCGCCATGCCGTATGTACCCACTTTGTTGACCCACCATTCGTCCTCCAGCTGCGCTACTTGAAAACGCCAGTCTTGGGGTAGGACCTTAATTCGTCGGTGGGCCTTAGTCACATCGGCCTTCAGCAGGATCCATTGGCTGTCCTCGGAGGGCCATTCCCAGACTGGGGCTGGGTCATCCGAGTCCCCCGCCCGTTCAGGGCCAAAGGCTCCTGGACTAGGCCGGTCGGCCTTGGTATGTCTGGCAGCATGAAGCCAGTGGATGGCATGAACACAATCCAGGACAGTAGGTGCCGTGGTCCGTTCCTTAGTGTTTTGCTGGATCTTTGCATTGGCTCCCCCGACCGATCCATCGTAGATGGTGCGGACCTTATCCCCTTCATCGATCCCAGCCAGGGGGCCTGGGCAGAGCTCTGTCGGGTCACACTCACAAAGTTCGGCAGCTTCCTGCCTGGACAGGGGGCCAACCGTCATGCCCAGTGCAACCTCCTCCTCAAAGGTGGCCCGGATCTCTTTGGAGAAATCTGCCGCTGAGGGGTAGTTGTGACGTCCTTTGGGGTCGTCCAGGGTGCTTCCACTGGGTCTTCCCCAGCGAGTTCGCTCTTGAGTGGCCACACGCCAGGGGAGGGGAGGGTGGGAGTCGAGACCCCCAAGCAAAACCCTGTCTGGGTCCTCCAAGTAGAATGGCTGTCCATCTGGCATGGTGCGCTGGTGCCCTGGATGGAGGATCTGTCTGATGTTTTGAGCAGCGGATCTGGGAACGGGTGGTGTTTAGATCCGCGTGTGATCGACCACATGACTTGGTCAGTGAAAGGTGTGGTAAGGGCGAGGATCTTAGCCCCAAGCCTGGCCAAGGCGGAAGCTGGCCTGGCCCAGGGGGCCATCCTTGAGCATCAGTGGTCATGGAGAGAAAGGTCCTTGGAGATGGGGTCAAATTTGGGGCAGTCTGACCACACCGTGCTGGTATGCCATGTATCCTCTACCTTGGAATAAAACTCGGAAGCCCTGGCGGCGGTACTGCCCTGTGTGAGGCCTGCAATGGCCTTGGCTGCTGTGGCTGGCTTGGGTGGGATCTGAAGGACCCTGGCGATGGCCTGAGGGGTACCGGCTGAGGTCACTGGACTGGAGGTCCCCCAGGGGTTGGTGCCCAGAGTGGTTGCACCGAAGGTCCTGCCAGTGGTGCAGCGGGAGATCAGTCGACAGGGCGGTTGCCTTGACAACCATCTGGCCTAATCTGCACTGGTCAAACTTAATGCGATGGTGGTGCAACTGGTTGGCCCATTTGATGTAAGCCCGGGTCACCCACAACGAGGAACACTTGTGTGCTTGGGGACTGGCACTGACCTCCATGGGGTCCCGGGGGTGTTCCAAGAAAGAGTATCATCCCACTCTCGGTGGGTGGCACTGCGAAAGTCCTTGGTATGCCAGTGAGGTAAGATACATCTGGCGGAGCACCAGCATGCTGTCATTGTCCGCGTCGGTCTGTTCCTCCGCTGTGTTGGAGGGGAGTCCCCACACATGCTGCTCACTGCGCCCCCTCACTGGCCTGGGGGCGTTGGGCTTGGGGAACCACCTGAGGATGCTCCAGGTGCGACAGTTGGGGCCGCCCCCAATGAAGAGGAGGAGACCCGCAGCAGCCAGGGAGCACAGATGGTTCCATTTACTAATAGCGAACATTGTTACTAGTAGCTTCTTGTTAC